CGAAAATTATTTGTCGGAAACAGCTCAAACTTTCTACACAGCATGAGGACATCAATATGTATCAGAAAATGTAATAAAAATTTGTGGTGATTTTGGAGCCATTTTTTGGAAAAAACCATGGGCTATAGCCTTGGATATTTTTCAGAATTTTGGCATTTTCTTAAAATAGCCGTAACTTGAAAAATTAAAACCAGAATCAGCTCAAACTTTCTACACAGCATAAGTACATCAATATGCATCAGAAAATGTCATAAAAATTGGGAGTGATTTTGGAGCCATTTTTTGGAAAAAAACCATGGGCTATAGCCTTGGGTATTTTTCAGAATTTTGGCATTTTCTTAAAATAGCCGTAACTTGAAAAATTAAAGCCAGAATCAGCTTAAACTTTCTACACAGCATAAGTACATCAATATGTATCAGAAAATGTAATAAAAGTTTGTGGTGATTTTGGAGCCATTTTTTTGGATAAAACCATGGGCTATAGCCTTGGATATTTTTCAGAATTTTGGCATTTTCTTAAAATAGCCATAACTTGAAAAATTAAAGCCAGAATCAGCTTAAACTTTCTACATAGCATAAGTACATCAATATGTATCAGAAAATGTAATAAAAATTAGTGGTGATTTCGGAGCCATTTTTGGAAAAAAACCATAGGCTATAATAGTCTGCTTGTTTTCAAAATTGGTATATTTTGAAATTGATCATAAATAACATAAAATCCTGTTCAATTGCTCAAACACACTCATTTTTCTTTTTATCTCTGTCTCTTTCATTTAAATGCAGATCCAGATCCTACTACCGAGTTTTACATTCACTCGCTGGACGGTAAGGTCTGGTATTTTGATGCTAGTACGCCAGAAGAAATGTCTGACTGGGTAAAAGCCATCGAAGGACAGATAAAGAAGATTCTTGAGGAATCTTTGCTGCCAAAAAGAAATGTTAGCTTTTAAAACTACTATACATGTGTATAATTAAACTATAATCATTTTTCAACTATTTTTAGAGCTCAAACGAAGAAGCAAAAGCTAAGATAATTGCAATGCAAGGGAATGACCTATGTGCCGACTGTGGGGCACCAAGTAATAGCAATAATGATATTCCTAGTTCACAGATTCATACCTGATTTTCCATACTTAGATCCGGAATGGGCCTCCTTGAATCACGGGTGTCTAGTCTGTATAGCTTGCTCTGGCATGCATAGAAAGCTAGGGTCGCACATATCGAAAATAAGAGCACTTCACTTGGACGAATGGAAGTAAGGAATACATGTACACAATAGACTCTATTTGGTGGTCATACTGTACATGTACATGCATACCCATTTATTATTTATTCCTTTTTCCAGGCCTGAGGTGGTATCTGTTATGACAGCAATTGGTAATGAAGTCTCATGGACAATATTTGAAGCACGACTTCCACGGAATAAGCCAAGCACTTCATCCTCTGTGTAAGTATACAGCATAATTATTCTTTCTTTTAAAACTAGTATTGAATGCATTTATGTACATGTACATGTACAATTAATACTTGATTTTTTGTATTTAGTGAGGAAAGGGAGAGATTCATAAAAGCAAAGTACCTCGAGAAGGAATTCATTGCAGAATTGCCTCCAAGCTCACTTTCTCTTTCAGCAGTAAGCACTCTTTCTCTTTTTTGATAATAAATATGTTCTCCCTCTAGCGTATATTGGTCTCTGTTAAGAATGATGATCCTATTGAATGCCTAAGACTCTTAGCTCATGCCAGTCCATCTAACGTTAACGAGGCTCACTCAGAGCACAATGGAGGATCAGCTTTACATGTTGCATGTAATCTTGGACGCGTAGTAATAGTCCAACTGTTAGTGTGGGTAAGAGGAGTTGAGCATTTCAAGTCATAGATATTTAAAATGTATTTATTTTTGCAGAACTCTGCAGATGTTAATATGCTAGACAGTCAAAAGCGGTCTCCATTGTTCTATGCAAGGATAGCAGGTCACGAGGACTGTGCTCAGATACTCATACAGAATAACTGCACTGAAGATATAGGGCCTCACCAGTCACCCCTCTCATCAGAGTTTGGGGGCAGCTCTGAAGTTATAATGCACCACTCTCAGCAATAGGCATGTTCATAAATTGCATACTCACTATACAACATGCAGTGAATCAACTGCATGTACAATAGTCAGTGTGTATGTGTACATGTCCAGTGAAGCAGTTTCATTAACAGTGTAAATATAATAAGCTAATAATTAGCTCTCTTCTATTCATCGACTCTATATTATTTCTCTCTTGTATTTTCATGTCATTATTATTATTATTTATGTTTTAATTGTTGTTCCTCTTTTTTTGAATTCATTTTTCATTGACTTCATGTAATAACAATTTCTCTGCTCTCTCTGTCACTCTCATTAGATTTGAATCAAAATCTTTATTTTCTTCTAACTCTGAATTTATTAACTCTTCTTTTCTTCACTCTTTCCATCACTTATACACACATAATTCTCTGTACTAGTAATTTTTAAAACAAAACTGCATTGTTACAAATCAACAAGATTGGCACTTTTAAAATTGCTAATAAAAGGTAGCAAGTAATGTTCCGGTTTTACTTGATTATAAAGATATACTTCAAACAGTCCACAGTGCAACCTTTTGACAGCCCACAGGAAACTTATTTGTCTGGCCTGGCCACAAGCTGGAGGAGTGCCAGTGGGCGTGCCTAATCTTCATTACGGCAATATAGGCCTGTACATGTTTTTTTAGTGTTCTGTTCTTTCCGAGGTTCTTTCTTCTCCCGTACATGTCGAGCACAGCAGAAACAACAACTCTTGACAAAGAGCTTGGTAAGTATGATACATGTATATACATTTTATTTACTTATCACTTTGCACGTACATGTACATGTCTAGGCATCAACGATTTTCGTTTGGTCTGGGAAAAGGCAGGTCGTCTTTCTGGACACTGGGACTCAATTGGCATTTTGTTAGGCCTCAGTCCTAACAAGTTGGATGAGATTGAAGCAGAGGGCAAACCACCAAAAACATGTTTGAGAAAAGTTTTTGAATGTTGGTTAAGAAAAGATTGCGATCAAAGTAGTGGTGCTCCTACATTACGAATGCTCTGTAATTGTATTAGAAGTGAGAGTGGTGGAGCAAATCCTGCCTTAGCTGATAAAATAGCTGAAGAATACTCCAAAAGCAGTGAGCGGCAACCTCTGTCACCAGTAGATACTGATTCGTCTTCCAGAGGTATGTATATAAAAAGTGTATTGCAATTTTATGATCAATTTATAATAATAGAAGTTACCCCAAATAAAGAATTACAGGCACCTCCTACTTCACCTGATACTAAAGCTACATATGCTAGTGGAAAATCAAAAGAGTTTCCTGTTAATGACATATTGAAGCAGATTGATGAGCTACAAAGATTATATGCTTCTAACGTTTATAAAACCAAAGAAGCATTTCTCTCCCTTAAAAGAAATACTCTTCCTAAAGTAATCGATTATATCAAGTACCATATTATTAATCTACTGAGTCCACGTTTTCGTAAGCACCACTTCATTGATAGATTACGAGAAGAGTATGATGGAATTAAATCAATGAATCAGTTATTTGGGGTACTGGAGAAACGTGTCTCCTGGTTTAATTTTGATTTCATTGTCCTATTGGTCAAAGTTTTTATAACAAATAGAGGAGTTCAGCGAATTTGGTCTACTTACTCCAGTTTGCTAAAAGATTATTTTAAAAATAACAATGATCAAGCAATTAAAGTTGTGAATGGTGTTGAATTTGGTATATTAGATGCTCCTGGTACTGAAGTCATGATAGCAAAAGTTGCCGATGATGATTATACTTTGAATGATTTATACTTCTTTCATAAAGCAATTGCTGATGCACTTGCAATTCCAGGATACAAATTCTATTTTTGCGAAATTGATGATGGTTGCATGGAGTTAAAATACTCCATTCCTAATTTTTTACATTTAATTCTTTTTCCACTTACCAATCAACAGTGTCGTTCATTGGCTGAGATTGGTATTATTAAATTGAGCTGCAATGAACATGTACATGAAATGAAGCAGGTAAATAAGAACTTTAAAGGGCTACTAATGAATTGACTATTGTTTCAATTATAGTTACCAGAAAATGAGTTAAAGAAGCTCTCTCACTTTGCTATTGGTAATTGAACAATTATCTACTGCATTATTTTATTTTATATTTAGATATCAATGATCCTTTATGGTATGAGAATACCAGTACTCCACTCATTGAAGCATGTTGGAGAGGATTAAAAGATGAAGTGCAATGGTTAATGGATGAATCTGGGTCTCAGAAAGGAGGTACAAATGGATGGAATCCACCATTAGCTGCTTCATATGGTGGCCATTTTGATGTTCTCAAGCTTCTCATTGATGTTTATCATTGCGATCCTTCACAAGGTGATGATGATCGTGTTATTAGTTTACACATGGCCTCATTTAAAGGCCATCTCAATATTGCACAGTATCTAGTGAATGAATGTCACGTTGATCCAGACAAATCAGATAGCTCTGGTAACACGGGATTGCTTTACTCAGCACTGGGTGGTCACGTTGACCTCGTGATTATGCTTTTAAAGAAGTGTAACGTGTCTCAGGTCAATAGAGAAGGATCCACTTTATCATTATTAGCATGTAAGAGTGGACAAGTAGCATTAGTTCATCAGCTTAGGCAGTTTGGTATTTTTTCAGAAGATGACATAGATTTTAACGGATGTGGAATAGTACATTATTGTGGTATGAGTGACAGCGTAGAGCTTCTAGTGTATCTTCAAAAAAATTGCAATATTAATTTAAACAAAAAAGATCGTTTTGGTACAACACCACTTCATATAGCATGCCAGTATGCTTCATCAAATTTCATTATGAAAATGGTAGATGTTTTTGGATATACAGTATTGTTAGAAGCTGATTATGCTGGTCGCTCTTCTCTTCATCACTTATGCAGTGGATTGGTTGGTAAATACTGCATTACAGATGTATATAATAAGCTCACTGCACCATGTGATGTCCCTTTAGTCTGCCAATTTGATACATTTAATGTTAATACCAAGAAAGGCCACCTTAAATATATATCACTAAATATAAATGTTACTAAACAGCACAAAAGAGTGAGCCTTTTGTCTACGCTCCTCAAGAAGACAAGCATTATTAGTAATTTTAATATAAATTCCATTACTGCTACTGGTCAATCATTGGTTCATTTAGCATGTACTAGTGGTAGTATATTATTAGTGAAGGTATTAGAGGAGTATGGTATTAACACAAGTTCATTAGATTATGAGGGTTGGTCTGCAGTACATTATGCTGCTTTATCAGGTTCACCTACTCTACTCAGTTATACTGTATCTCAGTATAGCTTGACTGCCAGTCAACCAGACTACAAAGGCGTAGTACCATTAGCATTAGCTGGTATGTCAGGTAGTATCAATGCAGTAGAATATATTATCAATACTACTGACATTGATATTAATATAACCTGTAATGAGGGTATGACACCATATCATTATTCTTACCAAAGTGGCCACTTTGAGCTAAGTCAGTATTTACATGAAGTACAAAGCAGTGGCATTGATGATAATTTAGATAAAAAGGATTACAGCATTGAGGGTGGTAATATGAAGCTTGTCCAATACCTCATTGAGCATGATCACTTGCTTCTCACACCAGCTTCATTACTGAATGCTATCAATAGCACAAAGCTGCCATTAATTAAATTATTAATAAATGAATACAAGCTAGATCCTCATGTTAACACTGGTGAGGATAGTAGATCTGCAGTTCATTATGCAGCTGAAGATGGTGCTATTGATGTCTTGGAATATTTAGTGAATGATTGCAGTTGTGATTTGGGTGATAAGGTGGCCAACAGTATGAATATATTTCATTTAGCTGCAGCTGCTGGTCACTATCTAATTATTAAACATATTATTGATAATTATTCACAATATACTAGTCTATTGCATTTGACTGATGATAATAATACAAAACCAATTCATGATGCCTGTGCTAGTGGTGTTGTACAACTGGTTACTTTTCTAATTGATGTTATGAAATGTGATGACAGTACTGAGGGCATAGGTAGTCTCAATTGTGTCATAGGGGCCTGTTATTCTGGTAATCTTGATCTTTTGAAGTTATTAATAACACAATACAAACATAATCCAAAAATATACAGCCAAATATCGTCATTATATGCTGCTGTGATGCATGGAAATATTCATATACTGGAATGGCTCAGACAAAAGCATCATATCAATGTAGTCTTATTTA